GGGCAGCGCCCCCAGGTCCACCTCCCAGGCGTGCGAGCCCTGCGAGAAGGCGCGCGAGCCCAGCAGGCAGGGCGCCGACGAGAAGCGCTCGGGGTTCTCCACCTGCACGCGGTAGCCTTGGTTGGTGACGCTGGTCAGGTCGTCGGACACGGACAGCCAGCCGGCCGCGGTGTTGGGGTCGAAGCTGAAGGGCACTGCGGGGGGCGGTGGGGAGATCAGCCAACAGCTCCCCTCCCTCAGCCTGGTCCCCAGGACCTCAGGGCCTGATGGGAGCTGAGCTGGGGGGGGGGTGGTCATGGGTGGAAAAGCGCTCCCCAAAGACAGGCCGAGGTCCCCACCCCCTTTGGGAACGGGGTCACCGCCGATGTGGTCAGCTGGGACGGGGCCAGGCCAGAATAGTGGGTCCCTAACCCCCGTCATTGTGAGAAGCCACATGGGCCCCAGGAAGTGGCAGCGATCAGACACGGGGGGCCAAGCACTGTGACCATGGACCTAGGGTTGGGGACAGGCCAGCGAGCCCTCGTCCCCAGGATTCCAGAGGGGTCTGGCCCCCCACACTGGGCTGTGGCTTCCAGCCTCTGAAAGTGCGCAAGTCACTCCGTGACCTGCAGCCACCTATGTGCGGTCCAGAAGCTGCCCCGGAAGCCACCAGCGGGCCCCCCCGGCTGCCGTCTTGGGGCGGCCGGTCACCAAGCCCCCCCCCCCATGTCACTGCAGGCTGGGCTGTCACGAAGCCCCACAGCCAGAGGAGCTCAGAGACCTGAAGCGGTCTCGGTTCTGGAGGCCGAAGTGGGAGGCTGGAGCGGTGCAGAAGGCGCGGGGGGCCGTCCTGGCTCTCGGCCAGCACCCCGCGGCCTGGTGCTCCCACAGCCCCACAGCCGAGGGGCAGAAGCTCCTCCTCTTGCAGGGACACAACCCATCCCGGCCCCTCCTGACCTCACGTAACCCGAGTCACCTCACCCGCTCCAAGGCCCTGATCGCCATCCCCTCAACACCACCGGTCAGGGCTTCAACATGCAAATTTCAGGGGAGGACCCCAGAAACTCAATCCACGGGGCCAGGGAGCGGAGGCCCCGGGCCGGAGGTCTGTCCCCGCATGGGCTGCCCGAGATGCGCACCCCACACCCCGCCTGCCCACGCCCCACTCACCAGACTCCACGGACGTGACCATCTTCCTCCAGACGCGGTACTGCAGCGAGTCCAGGTACCTGCACACGTCGATGAGCAAGCCGGGCTGCACGGGCTCCGGCTCCATGGTGCAGAAGAGGCTGGAAGGGAGACGTGTGCCTGGGGCTGGGCCGAGTCAAGCCTCTGGGCCCCGAGGGGACGGCTGGACACAGGCAACTGGACCCGTTCCCTAGCCTGGGGCTAAATGCGCTGGCCCCCTCATCAAGGCAAACCCGGGCGGTGACCGCGGGAGGTGAGCCAGCAGCCTCCTGGGCAGCTCGCGCCCCTTCGGCCCTCCCCGCCCCGGCTGGGATAGAGACAAACAGGCGGTTCCCAGACACGGTCCCTCCCCAGCACAAAGCCCACGCATGTGCTCTGGACATCTGCGTGGGACGGAGCGAAGGGTCCTCTCGTCCAGTAATCTGAAGGTGTCACCAGCCTCTGCTTGAATACCTCCAGTGACAGGGAACTCACCACCGCCGAAAGCCTCGCTGCCATCTTTGCTCAGCGCTGACCAAGACCCTGTTCTTCCTTACTCAACCCTGGGAACCCCACGGCCGTTAGCACAAGCCAGCGCATGCTGAGGCTCTCGGGGCCCTGGAAATCGGGATGGGCTGCTGAGAATACCACCCCTGTGCCCACGCTCAAGAAACAACTGCACCCTTGAGACACTGAAGTGGAATGTGAAGGCCGCCTGGCCAGTCCCCTCCTGCACCCCCAAGGCCCCAGCCCCGGCGCGCCTGGCCCTTCTGGCCCTCCCCTCCGCGCTTTCCCCCCAGTCCTCTCTGGCCCTCCTCTCCCCATCTCAGCCGGCCTGAGCCACTTACCGACGTTTCCGGCTCTTGTGTTTCTGAAAGAGGAAAAAAAATAGAGACATAAACACAGAAAAAAGTTAAGTGTCTGACTTCGCTAGGCCACCCCATGCTCATGGGCAGAAGCCTGGGTGCTGTGAAAGTGGAACTAACATGTGCGCGAGTCTGCCATGCCTAGCGGGCAGGCTCCCTGACTCTCACTTCACCTGCAAACATGAATTCGAGGGCCACAGAAGCCAGAATAATCTTGGGAAAGAACAAAGCTGCTGGGTCCTGCTTCCTGGCTTCAAAACGTATTCGAGCAACAGCAATCAAGGCAGGGTGGGGCCTTCAAAAGGCGAGGGACAGGGCAGCGGACACTGGCAGTCTGCGGCTGAACCCCCTACGTCCTGTTGGCAGCTCTCGGCGAGCGGGGGGTCCACAGCCAATGGGCTGAGCTGGAGCCCCACCTGGCCGCCCATGCCACAGAGGAGCCCAGAGTGGCCCCCAGACTTAAGTGTAGCCTTTGTCTGAGGCGTGACTGCGGTTTCTTAGGTGTGACCAAAGGCACCAGCCGTAAAACAAGAGCGGCTGGACTTGGGCAAGGTGGACGTGTGCTTCAAGGGGTGTCATCCAGAAAGTGGAGAGAACCCACAAGAGGGGGGAGAACATACATCTCCTGCAAAGGTCTGGTGCCTGTCATTTCATACCATGGAGCTCAACAACATAAGACAAAGAACCCAACTTAAAAAGCAGGCCAGGAGGGGCCCTCCCTGGTGGCGCAACGGGTTAAAGCGCCAAGCTGGCCATGGCTCTTCGGCGCAAGTCCGGCCCCCGCCAGGGAGTGACCCTCAGGGCCCAGCAGACCCCTCCTGACCCGCCCGCGGCTCCCCTCAGCAGTGTATCTGAGTCAGTCGGCCTGTCCTGCTCCCCACTCTGTCTCTGGTGAATCCTACACCTCTGGCCTGTACCCCAGTTCTGTATTGGTGAGACACGGTCTTATCAATAAATAAATTTTTAAAAGAGTAGGCCAGGGCCCTCCCTGGTGGCGCAGTGGGTTAAAGCACAGCACTGAGAATCTAAAGCAGCCTCCGCATGAGTTCGATTCCCGCCTGCCCCGGAGGTGACCACATGGCGCGGCAGACCTCTCCTGACCCGCCCGCTGCTCCCCTCAGCAGTGTACTTCGTCAGTCGGCCTGTTCTGCTCCCCACTCTGTCTCTGGTGAATCCTACACCTCTGGCCTGTACCCCAGTTCTGTATTGGTGAGACACGGTCTTATCAATAAATAAATTTTTAAAAGAGTAGGCCAGGGCCCTCCCTGGTGGCGCAGTGGGTTAAAGCACAGCACTGAGAATCTAAAGCAGCCTCCGCATGAGTTCGATTCCCGCCTGCCCCGGAGATGACCACAGGGCACGGCAGACCTCTCCTGACCCGCCCGCTGCTCCCCTCAGCAGTGTACTTTGTCGATCTGCCTGTTCTGCTCCCCACTCTGTCTCTGGTGAATCCTCTCACTGCCCCTGAGCCTCTGGCCTGTGCCCCAGTTCTGTATGCACAAATAAATAAATCTTAAAAAAAAAAAAATTAAAAAAAAAAAAAAAAAAGAGTAGGCCAAGGACTCAACTATCTATACCCCCGAAGAAGACACCAATGGCCAGTCAGTACGTGAACTGTTGACCACCACCAGCCGTTCGGGGGCTGCAAAGGAAAAGCAGCGAGGCCCCGCTTCGCACCCGTCACGGAGCCGGTTATGAGCGGGGTGCTAGGTGCGGTTATGAGCGGGGTGCTAGGTGCGGGCCTGCGCCTTCTCACACAGCCGGTGGGCGCGCACGGCGCAGCTGCCCGCGCCCAGCCTGGCGAGCCTTCTAGTTCCCACAGGAGCTCAAACCGGAGGGGCGAGGGCACTGTGCCCACACGGGGCCTGGCAGGGAGGCTGGCTGCAGCACACGGCGCAGGCTGGACGCGGAGGTGGCCCTTGGCGGAGGCGGCCTGTGAATTCTGTTTCCCAGACTTTTGACTTTCGGGGACACCTTCACCCCGCTGCCCAAGGGGACACTGTACGCCACGGTACGAAGGAGGAGGAGGAGAAGAAACCAAAGGCCGAGAGAGAAAACGGCAGACGCCGGCCTTCCCTGCCTCCCAGCCCAGGCGGGCCGTGGCCGGGCGGGCGGTGGCCCCGGCATGGCCTCCCCACAAGCACCTGCGGCTCGGGGCTCGGCCCCCGGCAGGCCTGCTGGTCCCGCCGGGCGCGGGCAGCCGAGGCCGGCGCTCACCATGAGGAAGGACACGTCGTCTTCCTTCATCTCCATCTGCAGCCGCTCGATCTCATGGGCCAGCGCCTCCGTGTCCTCCGCCAGCCGCTTCATCTTCTCCTCGGCCAGCAGCTGCTTCTGCCGCGCCTCCTCGGCCACGGCGTCCAGGGTGGCCTGCTCCTCCACCCTCAGGAACTCGCGCAGCTTGTCAAACTCCCGTCGGATCCGGCTTTCCAGCCAGGCCACCTCCACCTGCGGAGAGCAGCGGTCAGCCGTGCGGGGAGCTCCGTCGCGCACGGCCTTCTGGAGCCCTGTTTTCAGTAGACACCAGCTGCAGAACCCCACACACGTGCACACACGGTCTTACGAGCACACATTTATCAGTGAAAGCCTCAGGTCAGTCACACAGCGGAAGGTTCTTTCAATGGTTTCGAGCAGTTTCTCGAGGCCTGAAAAG